TAGACATCACTACTGGCATACTGTATACGCTGTAGTAGCTAAGCTTTTTTATTTATCTTGGCAGTGCTGCCCTTTAAATCAGAACAGGATGATTCTTATGAATTACTCAATACAACTGAAATTACTACTCTAGTATAGTATACTATGCATGTAGAAAATGAACTCAGTTTGATCTAACATATGACATGATATCATTACTACTGTTTGGTAATTGGTATTTAATTAAACTAATTAAACTGTTTGCTTGAACAAATACAAATTCTTAGTAAAGGCTGATTCACTTGAGACTTAACAGGAGACAGGAAGTGCAATACAAACCAATTGTCAGAGTTAAATTACATGTAACTTAAGCACAGAGGTAATTTCTGTACTTTAAGTGTGAATCATCCTTAACTGTATAATACATTTACTAATACATGTAAGTTGACACACACATTAATATGTGCTGAGCACTAGTTGTAATGCATTTAGATTTAATGGGCCACAAATCAGTAAGCAGAGTCATCACTTAACACAGTTTCCAAATTGACACAGTAATATTAAAAACAAGGCAAGAGAATTTAACATCTTAGTATACCTCATACAATAAGAATTAAAACAAATGAATAAATCTAAGTCTAATTTCACATGCATGTTATCAATATCTATATGTATGCACAAGTACATGCACATACATGTACATGTGCATACATGTACAGAAGGTAAGAAGATGCAAAAATATACAAAGCCAGGACAGACAAATTAAGAACTAGGATATTGGATTGTCAAGTGAGAGAGCTATTAGATGGGACAAAACTTGTTGTAGGGGGCAAATCCCCCAATGCCAAGAACATTAAGAGAATATATGTACATACATGTACATATTTAAACCCATTCCTGGTCTAGTGAAGACTGCATAATCAGCGCAGCATTATCTTAGCACAAAATAACATAGGAGAGGCACATACATGTAAAATATACTGCAATACCTGCCTCTCTTTCAAAAAATCTTGACTACACCACTGAAAGGGGTGGTCTAAAGGGCACAAAATTGGCAAATATATACTTAGGTAGCCACATAACTCAAAAATTGTTATAATGTACTTTCTACATACGTGTAGCATACGAGCATCAATATGTATTGCAAACCTGATTGCACAACAAGTAATACAAGTACATGTACTTTCTGTAATTTACCAGATCTGTCTGAGAATAAGTGAATCTAGTTCCAGTTAAATCATTTGATCACCTTGATCTGTCTCTGTTACAAATGTCACTACTGCTGGGTGACTACTGCAAGATAAGAAATAGTAATTTGTAATAATAAAAATAAAATAATAGTTTTTGATCAGACCTGCATGGGGTCATAAAATAGACCCAATTAGAATTACAATTATGCCTTGTTGAAGTAGTTTCAATGACAAATGCTATTTTGATAATGTTTTTGCATGAAATAGAAATATAGCTTGCTCTTAAAAAGGGGTAGTTTAGACGTCATAGAAGAATAACATATTGCCACCAGGGTTTCCCACAATAAGCGTGCTAAGAACTTACAAGCAATGCAATATACCATACAAGATGATTTATTGGCGGGAGTAATATTTGGCAAATTTGCCTGTGCATGGAATGAAATTGGCAAATTTTATATTGGCAATTTCATGCCATGTGCCATTGAGCAAGCTCAAATTGAAACAAAATGGTGGCTTTAATATTGGCAATTTCTTCATAGAACCGCCAATTGCCAATATTAATTCCTTGCCAATGAATCATCTTGTATGGTAGTGGATGCCTCTTGGAGTAGCTTTTATAATTCATGAAAAATCCTGTTTTAACCGAAATCAGCTCAAACTAGATATATAACATCAGAACATGCATATGCATCAGAAAAATTATAATTCTCTTCAAGCCATTTTTGATAAAGCTTGGCCCAAGACACAATCTTGGACAAGAGTTTTGAGCAGTTTCAAAAATTTGTAAAAATTCTAATTCTGACCGGTATTAGCTCAAACTAAAATACAAAATATCAGAGCAAGTATATGCATCAAAATGAAGAATTCTCTTGAAGCCATTTTTGGATTCTCAAGCTAAACGTTATTCCTCATGAGCTGGCAAGAAGCGCTATACTGAGAACCCTGATCCATCTACATGTGTACTGTCCAGTGCATTAACATAAAATCATGTCATTTGAAGTGGCTACCCATATAAATTGAGAGCATTTTACCTGCATCTGTATTGATTTGCATTAGTTTTAAAATTACATTTTTTTCAGGCTTAAATCATGTAATTGTGATTATAATTGAGCCTCTAATTACAATTACAATTTTAATTGGCTCCAATTAAGATACATATAATAACTCCTATACTTACTTACTATTCTTAATTAATGTCAAAAATCTCACTAACCTCAATAATGAATAACAATTTCTGCTCCTTATGATGATCATCATTTACATTTTCATAGACTGATAAAGTCATCTGAACTTTATGCATATTAGAACGATTCTATAAAAAAAAGAATATACTCCATATAGCGCCAAATTTTCCTCAATCAATGATTTTGTCAAAATCTTTAATTTTAATTTTTAACATTAATGTTTCCATATAAATCTGCATGCTGCCCACACGAGAAGCAAAAATTTCTTCAGTAAAAAATTTATAATCAACAATCAATTCTGACAAAACTTTCTGACAAAATCTGGAGCTATACAGTAGCTGTCAAAAACAATTCACCAAAATTCTCCATCACATTCGTGCAAAATATATTACTTCATATGCCTACTACTTTAATAATCCGATATCCACCAGCAAACATAGATAATTTAAATGAATATTGACAAATCAGCAGAGTCAGCTGGAATAGCTGAAATAATTGATGGGGAATTAATATTGACAGTTGCAGTAAACATCCCTATTACCTTAGAGTGACTTTTAATTGTGGGTACTAAATTTTGCGATTTTAGTACAAGGAGATTTTGCTGGTATTAAAAATTGCGATTAAGTAATTATTACTAATAGTTATATGGCATCATGATGTCATTATTAATAATTGCGCGTATTAATAATTGCGATTTTTAACCCAAACGCAAAATTTGCAATTAATAGTACCCGCATTTAAAAGTAACCTTAAGGTATTTCATTTCAGTTTGAGCATACTAAAAATCACTGTATAAAATCCACCAATTTTAGCCAAATTGTCTAATTTAATTCCCATGCACCAATATTTCCTGCTGCATAGTATGTAGTCTCGCCTGCCCTGTACATCATGTAAACAGATTGAGAATCATGTCAACTCTTCCCTCATTGTAGAAAATAATAATAATAATAGAAAGGGTGTAACAAGACTATGCTAAAAACCACACCCTCACATTAGGTTTTACCTTCTAAAACTAATGGGGTTAGATTTAATTAATTTTGCTTCCAGTAGCAAATATTCCAGCTCACCCACATCATATGCACATATCAACTCCAAAGTAATCAGAGTGTCCTCATATTTGTTATTAGTCTTACAGTCGTGTATCTATGGCCTTTACTTGCAACTGAACATTCTTCCCATCAAATCAGATATTCACAGTCTTGTATATACTGATAAAACTCTCTACCATAGTATCATTAACGAGACCAAGAGCTGGAGGAGTTTCAGCTACTCTTAAGGGAAAAGGACAGGGTCTTTAAAAGACATGAATCTTGCAGGATTTCAATCTGGGCCTGGGTCAGCATTATTACACGTGGCCATGATCTAGCAATTTCGCGGTTTTTGCTACAGCGCATGCGCTAAGCTTAAGCAAAGAAAGCACGTGTCTTATTTCTGGAAGAAGAAGATTAGAGGAACCTGAGAGATAATCACCGGACAGCGGTCAAGCAAGTGGCAGTCGTTCAATTCCCTTAGTCTTTAAGGAATACCAAGATAAATACAGCTACTACTCTACCCGACCTGTTCTTTGTTGCGAGTCAACTTACAAACTTTCTCGTTGTTTTTTTTGTAATTTAAGAATGTCTACAAGAGGCGGAGGAGGACGAGGCAGAGGAGTTGGACGAGGAAGATCCCGCGGAGGAGGTGGCATGGATACTCGCCGACCTGGCGAAGGAGCTCAAGCGGCTGCTCCTCGAGGCGTCCGCGATCAAGATGGAGGACAGCAGCAAGTTGGACGAGGAAGGGGACGGGCTGCAGCTCCGATACAACCGCCACAAGAACAGCCTCCCCCGACTAGTACAGCGGCACCTGTACAACAAATGCAGCAGATGAGTCTCGGGGAGCCTAGAGGAGGAGGGAGAAGAATTGAGAGGAGACAGGATGATGACATTCACACTAAGCCTGAGCACATCACCAACAAAAAAGGATCCTTTGGGAACCAAACCCCTATTATGTCCAACTACCTTGTTCTTCGTAACCGGCCTGGCCATGCCATTTACCAGTATAATGTCTCCTACAATCCACCGGTTGAGAATAAAAGGATGCGATTGGCTTTACTCTATCACCATGAAGAGGCTCTTATTGGCAAAGTCCACTCTTTTGATGGGATGGTCCTTTACTTGCCGCACCGTCTCCACAATAATCCTGAAGAAGTTATTTCCAAGACTAAGGAAGGGGACACTATCCACATTACTATCAAGCTGACAAACGAGTTGTCCGCTAACAGTCCAGTCTGCCTCCAGCTCTTTAATATTCTCTTTAGAAAGTGAGTGACTCCATGTTGTTTCTTATAACCACAGAAGCATTCAGTTGCCCTCTACCTGTAATGTCATTAATTGGTTGGTCATAGTGGTATTAAGGCTTGTAACTTGATGTCTTCTTAAGAAAGTAGTTTACATCTTAATGTGTTAGTAGCTTTCCATTTAGTACCTTTGTTCTTCAGACTTCATTATTATGATTGTGTTTGGGTAGGATTCTTGCTAAACTGGAAATGAAACAGATTGGCCGTCATTATTATAATCCAAAGATTCCAAATATCATCAGGGAGCACAGGTTAGTACTCTAGTCACTTTACTAATGTAGTTTTTGTCACTTATTTTATGCAATAATTTTTTTGTATTTTTCAGCTTAGAGATTTGGCCGGGTTTTATCACCTCTATTGCTCAGTATGAGTCCAATGTGATGCTTTGTGCCGACATATCACACAAGATCCTTCGTACCGACACTGTCCTGGATCTGTTTCATTCCTTGAAAAGTACTCGTGATTTTCATACTGAAGCAACAAAGAGTATTGTTGGAGAGATTGTTCTTACAAGGTTAGGCATACACCTACATGCATTACAATAAAATGGTGGACAGTATTTTTTGGAAATAACCTGCTGGTATAAAACAATGTAATCTGCAATTCTACATGTACATGTATTATGTCATTGAAAATTTGTATTTGTGTTCCTTTGATTTTAATATGATTCATCTGTAGGTATAATAATCGTACCTATCGTGTTGATGATATTGACTGGGAGAAGACTCCAGCTAGTACCTTCAAGACATCAACTGGAGAGGAAATATCATTCATTACTTATTACAAAAAGGTACAATACTTGTTGTAATGTCTTTTAAATCTCTCTCTCTCCCTCCCTCTCTCTCTCTCTCTCTCTCTCTCAGGCTTATGACCTTAAAATCAGAGATGAAAAGCAGCCCTTGCTTATCAGTCGTCCACGCAAAAAGGCAACTACATGTTTATAATTATTGCTTTGATTTTCTTAGTCCTCTCTTGCCCTCTTCTTTTATAGGATGAAATGGAGGCTCGTCGTAGAGGACGTGATCCAGCTACCCTTGGCCCACTGCTTTTAATACCAGAGTTGTGTACAATGACAGGTAGGTTAATTACTGTTTGTTAATACCTTCATGAAACATATATATAGTGTGTGTGTGTGTGTGTGTGTGAGAGAGAGAGAGTACATGTCTTGTATTTAATAAGTTAATGTAAACAGAGCATTTTGTAACTTATAATTATTGATGTGAATTGCCTGATTTTAGTAGTGTAGTCACTTACCTGACTCTTTCATTATATTGTGTAGTAATTATTGGTAACATGAGTCTTATCTTGTTTTAGTGAGTTGTGGTTGCCATTATATGGCGCCTTGATTGGAGGCTTCAGCAGCAGTTTCTTGTAGTGATTGTTTTATGGCAGGTGCTCCTTTTTTTGTTACAGCCTGGTGTACAGATATCTGCTGCTCTGAAGGTCTCTTTCAATATGTACACAGGCTTTACATGTACACAGCATGTCTGCTTTCTTTGTGAACACCTAGTTTATATGTTGACCCTGTTTCATGTTGCTACAGGTATACCCTCTTTGAGTACTTTAGAAATGTAAATTTAATTTTTGGCTAGTCATTGATTTTTGTTACATTTTTCTGATACTAATGTACAAAGTGTACATGTACATACCGGTATAATTATCTTGATCTTGTTCATGTTGCTACAGGTGATATCCTCTATCATAGAAATGACTATATTGGCTAATTTAGTTTCTGGCTATTCATGATTTTTTATGCATCTTGATCAAAGCATCAATTCTTAGACATTTCTGATTTGCTCGAAAACGTAATAGCAGGGGTATAAAAAGTTATGTCCTCTTGGTAGTAAGTGGTGTTGAATAGTGATTGTATTGGACCACTGTAATGTGTTTGCACCTCCTGTGTGAGTATGTGTATTGATTTTGCACTCCAATCAAGTTTTCTACTTGTTAATTGTTAATATTGTTGGTATTTTTATTATAGTATATCTTGTCTGCAGGTTTGACTGAAGAAGCACGTGCTAACTTTAAGATTATGAGGGACGTTGCTACCTACACAAGACAGGCCCCACCGCAGCGAATCGATACTCTCAACAAATTCATTAATGATGTCAACACGTAAGTCAAGAGGAGAGAGGGAGAAATATAAAATGAAATATGTAGTTGGAAATTGATCAAATGTGCCCATGCAAGCATTGTAAATGTGTATATGCATATGCAAATACTTTATCCATTCTTGTGTACTAGTACATGTAGCTATAATTGTATCCCATGATTCTGTTGAATTAGCACCTTATTTATTTCCTGCTCTAATTGCCTACCTCTTGATTATCTTCTAGTAATCCTGATGTCAAGTCTATACTCGGTGGTTGGAATCTTGAGTTTGAAAAGTCTTTAATAAAGTTTCAAGGGCGTACTCTGCCAACCGAAAAGATTAATCAGAAAGGTGGCTCTGTAAGTCCAATGGATTTCTCTTTTAGCATTTACTACATGTACATGTATAGCATATTACGTGTATATATGTTCTTGTTTCACTCTTCATGTGTCAAGTGTCCTGCAATGGAACTTTTTGCATTTTTTTTTTAATATCAATATTTGTTATAGCAGTTTGCATATGTTGATCTTAGTTGTAGTAATATTAGCTGCCTGTATCTTGCCCATTTTTATATTACTGTATGCTTATTATGACACTACATATTGTGAACAACTCATGGAACATATGTTCAACTGATTTTGCTTCCTGATTCCTATGCAAGACAGAGAGATGTGGTTGATTGTGATTATTTTTTCATGAGGTCACTTTTATATTTAGCTTGTACTGCACTTTAAGCTCATGAATGCAATGCTTCAATTCTAAACCAGCCTTCTTCCCTTTAATATGCTAATTAACTTACATGTTACATTATTTTATGTGACTGGATGTTTTGTATTATTTCTCTGTCTCTTGTGTACAGTATACTTATCAACAAGCTGGTGCTGACTGGTCAAGGGACATGAGAGGGAAGTCCATGATATCCTCCGTCAATTTGAAGAACTACCTCATCGTGTGCACTAACAGAGATGCAGGAGTGGCCGAGGAGTTTATTGGCACTATAAAGAGGATTGGGCCACCAATGGGCATCATGATTGATGAGCCACAAGTGTAAGAATATTTTTTACTATAAATATGTGTGGATTTATCATTTTAATTTAAGGCAAGACTCATATGTGCATGCAGCGTTCTGCCTAGAAAAACTAGAGGTGGTTGGAGACTATTATTGTTTCTTTTAAATTTATGTACACCATACTAGTAGACTACAATATCATGCTTTATGTATAGCTATTAATATAATGCATGGTTGGTCTAATTGATGACCTGGTTCAGTCTGGTTGGTTCATTTGTTGGGGTGCATGGTTACCCTGACCACCCACCCAACCACCATAGGCAGAACTATGTGCATGTAGTGAAGCTTTTGCTTTAATTTATTTAGTTCTTTTAATAGTGATGTTTTCACCTGTTGTTTTTGTATGATAGTTTGACATGTATATTTAAGTGTCAGCTCAAGTGGTTATTACAGTGTATTTCTTTTATTGTAGTGAAGTACTGAGGGACAATAGGACTGACTCATTTCTACGTGCTGTGTCTGGACAACTTAGAGATAAATCAACTCAAATGGTGAGTGCTGGCCTTTACTTAATGAGGCATTGCTATCTGTGTCCTCTAGGTGATTGTAGTTCTGCCCCAACAGAAGAAGGATCTTTATGATGCTGTGAAGAAGCTCTGCTGTGTTGATGCACCTGGTAAGGAACTGTTGTCTTTGTAATTAGTCCAGCTTCCATTCTATGTATACTTGTGGTATACTGTTGATGTAGTGCTATAACACAGGCAGCACTATTTTACATCTAATTGTATGTCTATTTATTGGCCTCACCAGCTATTAGTGTGGGCAAGGACTATGTAGTTAAGTGTGGTGTCTGTCATTCATTTTGTCCAGAAGCATACTCTCACTGAAGCATTTGTGGTTTAGAAGGGGGTCCCCTATGCTTAGAGAACTTCTCCATGCCCTTGAAAAAGCTACTTTCTTTGGCTTTATGCTTTATTGTAAACTGTAGTGCTTTTGTATTTGCTATTTTGACTGTCGTGCACATTTGTCTAGCATTTTATATCCTAAAGATTTATGTGTACATGTATGCATAATTGATTAACAATTTCTCTCTTTTTGCCATCTCTCTCTCTCTCTCTCTCTCTCTCTCTCTCTCTCCTCAGTTCCATCTCAATGCATTGTTAGTCGTACTTTGTCTAAGAAGCAGACCCTGATGAGTGTGGCTACTAAGATTGTTCTTCAAATGAACTGCAAACTTGGAGGAGAGTTGTGGGCACTTGACATACCAGTGGGTGTTCACTGTTAACATACACAACTTCTTGTATAGCCTTTTATTACATACCTATAGTGTATATGAAGCTGTATTAATGCAACTCCTAGTTAAGTGTTTACCCATGTTTAAAATGGCAATGAAAACTGCATAGCTGTGGTTTAATTTGTTTGTGTATCTCTCCTGTATAGTTTTATCTTAGCATACATGTATAATGAACCCATTCTTGAATGGTTGGTATATGCATGCATGTCTTTGTCTATCTATTTTTTTATATTTCAGTTTGATATTAATGAATCATGCAAATATGATTAAGAGCTTCTATCATTTTTAATTGCTTCAGAACATACATGTATATTTACTGCTTTTTTATCTTACCTGTAGCTGAAGAATTTAATGGTAATTGGTATTGACACGTATCATGATTCAGCTTCTAAGGGACGCTCTGTTGCTGCCTTTATTGCGAGCACTAACTCAACTCTTACAAGGTAACAATTAATGATTCTTGAAATCAGGCATTGAAATTTTTTGTAAAATTGTGATAAATAATTTATTATTCTGTTTTAATTATGTATTGCTTTTAAAATTTTTAATGGTTTGTATTTTGTGCATATTTTATGTGTTTAATACTATTGTCCTGTTTCTTGTACATGAGGTCAAATCACCAACACTTCAATGTATGTGGACATTAGCATTTTGCCACATTTGCTGTCTATAGTAGGGCTGAAACGAATAGTGGGATATTCAAATATTCGTTCGTTAAAGCAATATTCGAATAGTTTTTTTACTATTTGAACTATTCGCCTAATAAAATTATCAATGGTTATTGCAATAATTAACGACCACGCCCACCGCGTGTCACCTGCACAGGCTGCTTTCTTAGTCTGTTTCTTGGTCTGTTTACTTACCAACTTGCTAAATACTGCTGCTGTGGCCAGGGAAAGTGGTTCTCAATCTCTAAGAAGCCCTGTTTGGCATCATTTTGAAAAGTTTAACACCAAAAAGGTAATTTATAATCATTCAGCAATAACAGTTCAATTATTCGAATATTTGTTCGTTTAGCATGCCAATTATTTGAATAGTGGAAAATACTATTCGTTTCAGCCCTAGTCTATAGTAATATTTTGTGTTTCCTTGATGGGTCCTTCAGTCATTGTGTGATGAGTGATGATCTCTTGGAGATATGACTATACCAAGTGATATCATCAAAACCTGCTGATTCTATTAGATCTGACTCACACATTTGCTGTAAAGCTATGTACAATGTATATGGCTGTAGTTAATTTGTTACATTGTCCCAGCATGACACCATTATATTTTAAAGCTATATACAAGTATGTACATTTGCATGTACATGTGTGTGTGTGTGTGTGTTTTAGTTGATATTGAGCTTTTTATGAATTTAAAATGTTAGACTGTAATTGGGGTAGAAGTAATGCAGTGTTTGGTAAAATGGCTTGGTTTCTTTTTTTCAGTGTTGCTCCAAAATTTGACTAGCATGGGGTATTTCATCAAAAATGGCTAGGAAAGAATTCTCCATCTGATGCATATACCATGTGTCTTATGTTGAGTTGAAAGTTTGGGCTGCTTTTGATTAAAATTAGATTTTATGAATTTTGTACTAATTAATGTAAAATTTAACAAATTACCAATTATTCTTTTATGTTTATAGGCAACCAAAATTTTGTTTAATGTCATCTTTTTATGTCTATAGATATTACTCACAGACAATGTTCCAGCAGTCTGGTCAGGAACTTGGTGATAACTTGAAGGCTTGCATGACAAGTACACCATTCATTTCTTACATGATTCATCTCTCTCTCTCTCTCTCTCTCTCTCTCTCTCTCTCTCTCTCTCTCTCTCTCTCTCTCTCTCTCTCTCTCTCATAGTGGCTCTGAAGAAATACCATTCTATTAATAACACGTTCCCTGATCGCATTGTTGTGTACCGTGATGGTGTTGGAGATGGTCAGGTTAGTAACTTATTAGTGGTTGTAGTAATACAGCTCATTTCTGTTGGGGCTTCCCAGAAAATTTTGGCATTATTGCTCAAAAATGAGAGCAATGGGCTTTAGCTAAATTTTATCACAAAATGTCCATGACAGATTTCTCTAAATTTGTTAATACATGTACTTGTTTTTTATGTTTTGTAGAAAATTTGAGCTGATTCTGTTCAAATTTGTAGATTTGTGAATTTTTTAAGTTGCTAAAAAATGGGCCAAGGCCGAATTTTGTCAAAAATGGCTAAAAGAGAATTCGACATTTTCCTGATGCACATGCTGTGTTAAGTTTGAGCTGGTTCCGATCAAATTTGGAATTTTTATGAATTTTGAAGTTCAAAACATGAGCCAAAGGCTATATAACCTTTTGTTTTTGGCTAAATTCTGTCAAAAAATGACTGATAGAATCCTCCATTTTTATAATTTATTTTGCATAATTATACTTGTTGTAATGTTGTGTAGAAATTTTGAGCTGATTCTTATTTTCTATTATTTCCCCCTCAGTTACATATTGTTAAGGAACATGAGGTTGTTCAGATGCTGGAGTCATTTAGCTCAACATCTGGTGATAGCTACAAGTAAGCAACTTATTATTATTATTGTGTGTGTTGTCTTGTTTTGTGTTATTATTATTACTAATTGTTGAATTTTCTCTAAAGCCCAACATACACTACATTTAACAATGTTACTTTCAACATTTGCCCAGCCTTTGATCATGCTTTGATGTGGTCAAGCAACATGTTGCCTTGAATAGAAAGCCTTTCTATTCCTTTCAACAAGGTTGAAAGAAAGATCAAAGCCTGGCAACATGTTGCTTGTAGTGTATGTTGGGCTTAACTCTTTGTTCTCTGCCTCACTCTCTCTTTCAATCGTAGGCCTAAGTTTGCAGTTGTAGTTGTCAAGAAAAGGATCAACACTCGTTTGTTTGCTCCTGATCAGCGAGGACAGCCCTCCAACCCACTGCCTGGCACTGTTGTTGATGATCAAGTCACAAAGCCTGACTGGTAGGTACCTCATTCCCTAGTCCTGCTCATTTTGATTTTACTCTTTAAATATTATGTGGTATTTCTTGCTAGTTGCTATGCAGTTATTATTCCCATGGTGCATGTAAATTTATTTTATATTGGTGTGTGGCCTGCACTCCAATGGCTACAAACAAAGGATACCCTTCCTTGCCTGTTGGAATGTTTATGATAACAGTTCTGTTTTTGTGGCTATAGCCTTCCAGCCTGTGGCTCACTGCTCTCATGATACATGTTTATATAGTACTTGCTTTGCTTGCATGTTTTGTTTTGTTTAATTTATTCCCTTCCTAATGTAAGTGGAAATATGTGTCTTAATTAGCATTTATACATGTACATCATTGTGTGATACAGTCATGGAGAAATTTTTAGTGTTGCTCAATACTGTATGTATATTGCAAATTTTTTGAGGGCTATAAATTATGTGATTTTTTGAATATTTGTGTAAATAAAATTGTGGCACAAGATGGCAGGTGATATAAATTTACAAAAATTAAATCCCCAAAATAGATTTTTTTGGCAATTTTGCTAAATTTACAGGCAGGCTAAAGCCTTCAAACATCTTTCGCTATACAGTATAAATAGAGTCCATTCTTTGTTCATTTTTATTGAGAAAGATTTATTTTGGTTAGATGCAATGAGATGCAATGTTTAACTTTGTATCAGGAATTGAATTTAGTTCTTGTATGGTATCCTATAGGGTATCCACCCATTCTTAACCCCTCCCCAAACATAGTGTTTATGCTGTCTAATGTAATAATAATTTTTTTGTTTTATTTTTCATTCTTTATAGGTATGATTTCTTTTTGGTCAGCCAGTCTGTTCGTCAGGGAACCGTTAGTCCCACGCATTTCAATGTTATTCATGATACATCAGGACTGACTCCAGATCACATGCAAAGACTTACTTATAAGCTCACCCATCTTTATTATAACTGGCCGGTAAGGGAAAGTATATATTTTTTACTGCCTTTTCCTCTAATTTTGCTATATGCAATTGAATTAAAGTCTATTGTTTTCAGATAGCTTTCTTAGAAAATTACTTGCCTGGTCTATAGCTGTTTTTGTACTCATTGCTTGTGAAATTTTGATTTAAATTAGTCGATCTTTTTTATATCATTTTACTGGTACTGTATAGCTAGAAAATTTGGTGAATGGAAGTTAATTCACCAAAATTTTAGTTGTCAATTTGATAGGGTTCCATAGGAGCATGTACAGAGTTAAAATTTCGCGAAAATTTTAACCTCCAAACCTCTTTTAAAAGTCAATTTGCCAAATTTTAACACTACAAATTTTCTAGCTATATGTATCATGTATTATTATTTAAGTATCTTTTAACTGTCATCTAAGTATCATTTCGTGTAGTTATACATGTATGTACATAAGCAGATATGTTTCTTTATATGCATGTACATGTACGTTATAGGCTGTACTAGCAAATTGCCCTTTTCATTGGCTGTTCTACAAGTACTACATCATAGTTCTATTGTTTAGTTTATGTAAAGTGTAGTAATAGCAAGTTCTTTTATTTTGTATAGGGTACAGTGAGGGTTCCTGCTCCGTGCCAATATGCTCACAAGCTGGCGTTTTTGGTTGGACAGTCTATCCACAAGTCTCCAAGCACAGCTATTGCAGACCGCCTGTACTTCTTGTAGCCAGTGGGCGGCTCTCATTATGGACTACTTAATCATTTAATCATCATTATTATATAATATTCACTTATTATGATCATTTTGGTTCAGGACACATTTTTACTAGGACGTGACATTCAAATTATAACTGATTCTTTTGATGATTTAAGTCATTAATGATATTTTGGTAATTTGTCTTCAGCATTCATCCAATATAGTTCAATTTAAATTAAGATCATCTGAAGTGAAGTTACTTTTTTTAGTAGGAATTTTTGAACTGGGTATCAAATATGTAATGAAGTACATTACTTCAAGATATGTGACTGTAGTTAGAGTCTACCAAAGTGCTAATCACTCTTGCTCATAATTATGATAGTGTATTGTAACATATTGACTTGAAATTTAGCAAGGAAATCATTGAAATTTTGTTCCTTTAGATCATCTGATGGGCTGGTTCAGTTTGTCATTCACATACACTTTTATGATTCTAATTGACAGTCTGCTAAACTTCAATGATTAAAAAACATTGAAAAGGTAGCATAAAATCACGATACATACATGAAATAAATTAATCTATAACAATAATAAAAGACAAATAATGTATAACAAAGTGCAAGAGATAAAAAGTCAATAGTCTATAATCAAAATAAGACGTCATCATGTCTTCGTGGACGTGGTTGACGACGAACATTAGTTTTAACCACTCGTCTTCTAGGAGCCATATCATCCTGATAAGAACAGTAAGAAACTGCAGCAGCGACCAAATACAATATGAGACAGAAGCAAAATAAATACAACAGTCCTATCATGATCAGTGTACCATAATAGACTCCACTGTCACAGTAATTAGCGTCTGCACTATTAAGGCTCGGTGGATTACTAAGTATGAACCACGTGCCCATTAATGTAAGGATTGTAGTCAGTGCTACAAATACTAAGAAGCATCCTTCCATTATCCCAATGCAGGCTGAGCAGGTCACTGATTTCTCTGAGTTGCAGAAGTTACCGATTTTACAGCACGAGAGAGCAGAGTTGAAGAGGCGTAGTAGGAGCGTAACAAAGAACATGGCACTTATTGACATTAGGAGACTAATGATGAGCCTGCTATTGTGTGGACACCTATTGTAACCAAACACACCTAGTGAGAGGGAGGGAGAGAGAGGTGGGGAGAGAGAGAGAAAGTAGATGAGGAGAGTTAAACAAAGTAAGAAAGAAACGAGAAACAACCTATTTACTCTGTGATCAGTGCATGCGTGTGTGTGTGTGTGTGTGACACTGTGTTTGTGTGTGACACTGTGTTTGTGTGTGTGTGTGTGGGTGCGTGTGTGTGTGTAAATGACTGAGTGAGTGTAGAACAGCTCATTATGATTTACTATAGTGCATGCATAGTAGAGTGCATGCACATAAAAGGTATGAGTGTGTTCCAGTCAGTAGTGAGGTACTGTTATCATAAACACCAATAGAAATGACAAGCTTCTGTCAACACATGCTTTATCTCACGTACCTGTCAAGAACATAGCCACAGGTAGAGCCAATAGGAAGAACAGTAATGTAAAACCACAAACTGAAATATGAGAAAATAAAAATATGAATAATATGAAATATGAGAAAATAAAAACTATGAATAATATTATATTATCATAATGTAATAATGACTGTTTTGGCTATGACATTTATTTTCTAAGTACCAGTAACTCAAAATTTATTGAGCAGAGGTCATCATCATACACATCATTATACATACATTGTTAATAAGTTTCCTATTTCCTAATTAAAAAAAGGTCACACTTATTGTTATTTGAAGCTTTTAGCTATGCTCTGTCCAAAGCAAGAGCTCATTAGTGCTATTCAAGATTACTACAAAAAAATGATAAGTGAGCTAAACAGCATGAAATAGAGAGTTTTCTCCTATCAATTTTTGATGAGATTTGGCCAATGGCCATTGGCCAAATTTTTGAACAACTTGAAAAATTCACAAAAAATTCAATTATAATCAATTTTTTTACACAATAAAAAACAAGTACACATATTAGAAAAAATTATATAAATGGAAAAATCTCTCCTTTTCAATTTTGATAAAATTTGGCAAAAATCCTTGTACAGGGACTTTAGCCCAATTTTGAGCACTTTTAAAAATTAAAAAAAAAATCCAAACTTGATTGTAATAAGCTCAAACTTTCCAACACAACATAAGGACATGCACATGTATAAAGAATGATCATTGATGTTTCAGTGGCCCAGGTGGATGTGAATCGACATGAACATATATCAGCCTAATTTGTACAGTATATTAGCTTCCTAATAACTGACAACCAGTGAAGCTTAGCCTTATAAAATAATTCACATGCAGTCAAATGATCAATCAATGTATAATGACTTACACCAGAGGCCACAGCAGATACATTTTATCCTCTTAATTCTTGACACTTTTTTCCTCAATGACTGACGATTGGGCAAATGAGCTTCACTATCCAAATCAACATCAGGAGAAGAGAGAGTGACTGCTTTGAGCATGAGAAAGGCCATGTTGAAATTAGAGAGTTTCTCTAGGAAGTGTTGTTGTCTCATTTGTCTTGTCGGTGGTTCCCTCGATCCTGAGGGTCGGTGAGAGTGCTGTCTCTGACGGGGTGGGCCATGCATCGAGGAATTTGAGGAGGTGCGGCTTTGTTGTCGTGGCAACTGTTGTCTCGATCCTTGCCGTGAACCGGCCCCCGGGCCAGATCCTAAAATGTAAATATTTTAGGTCACATTACAAGATTATGCTTAACATGATAATTCACACAGGAAAGATGATTAGTAAATATGGTGCTTCTCTCTTTCTCTATGTACAACTTATGTAGGAATGTTGCTTTGATAATACTTCAAGAAATGCTAATTATTACCAATTGCTTATAGTAATTGCATAATGATGAGATAACTCTGGCACAAAAGTACATTTATAGTACCAGTAGGAGATTATTCAAGTCGTTATGATAACAATCTTAGTGTTAATACGACCTCTATAAATTACAGACATGTAAATGTGACTATTACTGTGAAATATAATATTTGTTAGTGTATAAACTCATACAAGTTTAAAACAAATGTAGCTATAGCTGTATGGTAAAGTAAAAATATGTTAAAGAAATAACAATGAAAGAATGAAAAAAGATACAAGTGTACATTTGTACATGATATTGAGGACTGCAAGCAAAACAAACAGCTTATTCCAAGCCACTCACAGTGAGCCTTTGATGTTATTATTGATCTTATATTACCAGTTATGATGAAGTACAGTATAAATGTTGCTTGCCAGAATAAAAATGGATTTTTATTCAATGCAGTATATTGCTGTATAAATAGCTTTTATACAATAATTATTAACACCTTAAGACTGATAATTGTCTCGTTTTCAAAGTATTGTATAATGCTTTGGGCAGAGTTTATTTCAACGATTGGCAAATTTTGATTAAAAAATCGACAATCATTATCTTAATGAACGTACTCGGTAATAAAATTTATGTGTACAAAATCACAAAAATAAAACTCACAAATGCTTATATAAGGTATGTCTACTTGGGTATTTATGTACTTTGTGGTGGTCGTTGGTGAGCTTGCTGTCTAATGGCAGAAGGAGGAGGAGGGAAGCTGGGAGCATTAGGAGTAGGAGCAGGTGGAGGAGTCAATGGGACAACTAAAGAAGGACCAGCAGCAACAACATCATCATATGAAGGAGGAGGTGCTGATGGAACTAATGGATGGAGAAACAAATGAAATGAGCCATAGAATAAATACTGAGGACTCACTGGCATCATTATCATCATAGTCCATGACTGTCACGCAGTGCTATACCGCCAGTAGGAACCGTTCTAGCTGTGTGGAGTCAGTTCCTGAGGTTACGGTATTAAGATGTGTGTGTCCTGTGGAAGTGTCCTCCAAATTATGCTTTGCTTGTTGTTTACGTTTATCATTATTCATGGTCCACGCCCTTATTAGACCACGTGACTAGATAGCTACACACGTGGAATTGATTGTGGATACATCAAGGGAGGGGCTCAATGGCTGGATTAAGAAGGTTTTGTCTTTTGTCAAGAGGATACTCCACTCGCTGTTTCTTTGACGTGTCAGCATCACAGAAGCAGCTAGGAAGAATTATAATGGAGGTGAATGTACTATATCTAGTCATTGGTTTTATGAAATGCTTTGTTAAATTTTAGTTGAGGACTGATGTGGTGCCGAAAACAGCTGGTAATCATTTATTTATTTTTAAAAATAAAAATTAAACTTTTTATTTTAGAGAATTTCCGTGCTCTGTGTACAGGAGAAAAAGGTTACGGATTCAAAGGGAGCTCATTCCATCGTGTTATCCCTGGATTCATGTGTCAGGGCGGGGACTTTACCCATGGAAATGGAACTGGCGGTAAATCAATATATGGCGCTAAATTTCCTGATGAGAATTTCCAATTAAAGCACACTGGTAGTGGTACGCTGTCAATGGCTAATGCTGGTCCTAATACCAATGGATCTCAGTTCTTCATCTGCACTGCTGACACTCCGTGGTAAATTATTTTTATTTCTCATTCTGTTCAGCTTCTTGCCAGTGTATTTAATGATTTTAAAATATCTACATAAAAAACAACAATAGAGTAGGTGCTGGTATTATGAGATGGTTTGTATTATGTGTAATTTCAATGATGTTATTTTTAAAATTCAAAATGTTAAGTGTTTGATAACTTAAGTAACACATCTACTCTAGAGGGAAGAGAGAGTTTATTTCTACTGTTATTTTATTAAATTTTGAGTTATACCCTATATCCAAAGCATTTTTTGTCAAAAATGGTTAGGAATATTTCCTAACGCATGAACTTGTTGAATAGAATTTATTAGGTCATTGTGATCAAAATTTTAAGTTACCCCTAAGTGAAACTGACTGGGAGAGAATTCTCTATTTTTATGATATTGCCTGATGCATATACATGTTTTTATGCTGTGTAGAAAGTTTGAACTGATTCCGATCAAAATTGGATTTTTGCGAATTTTTAAAGTTGCTCCAAAATCAGGCAATATAGTACACGGTTTTTGGCCAAATTATGTCAAAATTTAAAAGGAGAGAAATCTCTATTTTTATTACATTGCCTGATGCATATACATGTTCTTATGCTGTGTAGAAAGTTTGAACTGATTCCGATCAAAATTGGATTTTTTACGAATTTTAAAAGTTGATCCAAAATCAGATGAAAGTCCCTGTACTATAGCAAGGCTGCAAAAGTCGTGGCAGCCATTTTGAAGTGGGGTGAATCCTACTTAGTAACGCTACCGCGTTACTAATAACACGGACTTTGGCCAAAATTTTGTCAAAATCGAAAAGGAGAGAATTTTCTATTTTTATTACATTCCCTAATACATATACATGTTCTTATGCTGTGTAGAAAGTTTGAACTGATTCTGATCAAAATTGGATTTTTTATGAAATTTTAAAGTTGCTCCAAAATCAGACAAAATTCCCTGTACTATAGTACACAGTCTTTGGCCAAATTATGTCAAAATTGAAAAGGAGAGAATTCTCTATTTTTATTACATTCCCTAATACATATGCATGTTCTTATGCTGTGTAGAAAGTTTGAACTGATTCCGATCAAAATTGGATTTTTTATGAATTATGTCAAAATTGAAAAGGAGAGAATTCTCTATTTTTATGACATTGCTTGATGCATATTCATGTTCTTATGCTGTGTAGAAAGTTTGAACTGATTTCGATCAAAATTGGATTTTTTACGAATTTTTAAAGTTGATCCAAAATCAGACGAAAGTCCCTGTACTATAGTGTCACCATTAACCTGATTCGCTGCCGATACTCTTTCGCTATTCTCAAGGCAGCAATCAGGTGCTTACGAGGATCACGATCAAGAGTGAGATCATTCGATTCAAACGATTTCTGCAGAGCTATCTCAGAAGCTCGTCTTACCCTAACCTAACCTATTCATTTTATCTTATTATTTTTCTATCACTTATTTCTGTTATTATTATCTCATTTATTAACCTGCTATTTATCCCTGTGTTATATCTATTTTGTAAAAAAATTGTTTATTTAAGGGCTCAGTTCCCTTCTACACTGTACTATAGTACACGGTCTTTGGCCAAATTATGTCAAAATTGAAAAGGAGAAAATTCTCTATTTTTATTACATTGCCTGATGCATATACATGTTCTTATGCTGTGTAGAAAGTTTGAACTGATTCCGATCAAAATTGGATTTTTTACGAATTTTTAAAGTTGATCCAAAATCAGACGAAAGTCCCTGTACTATAGTACACGGTCTTTGGCCAAATTATGTCAAAATCGAAAAGGAGAGAATTCTCTATTTTTATTACATTGCCTGATGCATATTCATGTTCTTATGCTATGTAGAAAGTTTGAACTGATTCCGATCAAAATTGGATTTTTTATGAATTTTTAAAGTTGCTCCAAAATCAGATGAAAGTCCCTGTACTATAGTACACGGTCTTTGGCCAAAATTATGTCAAAATCGAAAAGGAGAGAATTCTCTATTTTTGTAATATTCCCTAATACATATACATGTTCTTATGCTGTGTAGAAAGTTTGAACTGATTCCGATCAAAATTAGATTTTTTATGAATTTTTAAAGTTGCTCCAAAATCAGACAAAATTCCCTGTACTATAGTACACGGTCTTTGGCCAAATTATGTCAAAATCGAAAAGGAGAGAATTCTCTATTTTTATTATATTCCCTAATACATATACATGTTCTTATGCTGTGTAGAAAGTTTGAACTGATTCCGATCAAAATTAGATTTTTTATGAATTTTTAAAGTTGATCCAAAATCAGACAAAATTCCCTGTACTATAGTACACGGTCTTTGGCCAAATTATGTCAAAATTTAAAAGGAGAGAATTCACTGTTTTTTTTAATTTTCCAATGGATATACAGTCAAACCTGCTATTGTGGACAGTCTAAAATAATACGCCTCTATAATCAAGACAGGCAGTAGTGGTCCCAATACTATATAAGTGTAAATTGATAAACCTCTCAAATAAGGACACTTTCATAATCAGGACAGTATTATTGGGTCCCAGAATAGAGAGATTTGACTGCTTGTGTTGTGTAGAAATTTTAAACTGATTTCGATAAAAATTGGATTATTTACAAATTTATTAAGTTGCTCAAATATTGAGTAAACAGCCCTGTATTATAGTACATGGTAATTTTGGCTAGGAGAATTTTCAGCATTTTTATTGCACATGCATAGTACATGTACTTATGTTGTTTAGATAGTTTGAGCTGATTCTAATCAATGAATTGTTTAGATTGCTAAGTACTCTATAATTTTGATAACCACTTCCTCAAGCAGCTAGCCTGTAGTAAGGCCTAGCCTACATGTAGACATTATGACCATTGTGTGCCTAGTCACTACCTATGGATGCATGCTTTACATTCAATTTTGAGTTGATTCTGGCTTTAAATTTGAACTGCTTAACAAAGAGCATGGACTTTTAATTGGTTGATTGTCTATTGCCAAAATGGATGCAAAGAAATATCAATTTTTGTGACATTTTCTGATACATCTTGTATTATGTAAAGACTAAAGAGAGTTTGAATTGCTGAAATTGTGGGCCAAATACCATGATCTCATAACTGTCAAAGTTTTGACAACATTCTAATACTGAAAAAGACTACAGATTAGTATTATGTACAAATTAGTATTATGGGTCAACATTAAATTTGACGTTTCCCAATTTATGTTAGTTAGCTTGTATTAAATTTTTAATTATAAAAAGCAAAATTTGAACAATTTGAAAACTATGATTTGAAAAAATTAAGCAACTTGTATATGAACTATGTTTTTTGTTTTTTGTAGGTTGGATGGTAAACATGTTGTATTTGGATCAGTGGTAGAAGGAATGGATGTCATCAAAATTATTGAAAGTTATGGATCACGTACTGGGAAGTAAGCATGACGCATTAAGTCTTGTATTCAGTTGTGTTTATTTTGTAGGACAAGTGAAAAGATTACGATTACTGATTGTGGAGAAGTAAAGGAAGAAATTTAACTTCAAAACAATTACTATTATTCATTATCAGTCTCAATGAATGCACTTTGTAGTAAATCATTCATAATAATTGCTCACTAAAAGGCTCTTAGATTATGCTTTGCTTTTATAGTATTGAAGTGTGTGCATGTATGTATTTCTCTTCTGAAATTCTTTCACCAGTCATACTATCTTCAGTATCTTGAGGCTCATGTCAATCTCCCCCAAATAGTCGCTTCCCAAAGCTTTTTATAATAGGTACCGGTAACTTATTTGTCATTTTTGTCAATGTTTCAAAAAATACAAAATAATTTAAAATTATTAATTTTACTCGTTAAGTTTTTGAAGAATAAGGGTCATATGAGGTCGAGCTCTAGGATCAGTGTTAATTCCTGTTTGAATTATTGATTTCATTGTAGACCAAGAGACTTGACAGGCTTGTTGTTCCCTTGCTTCTCTTTTCATGGCTGGTGGTTGATGAAGGACCATTTCCATTAGAAGAATAGAGTAACTGTAAATATCCATTGCTGGACTATGTAGTTCAGGATTAAAGGCTTCTGGTGCAGCATATGCTTGATTACCTGGCATAACAGTAGTGGCTGCTTCTTGAAGATTAGCTGTACCATAATCGGCTAATTTGGCATCATAACCAGCAGGTCTAGTGCAAGGCTTTAATAATACGTTAGGACTGCTGACATCTCTGTGAATAATAGGCTGAGGCTTAAACAGGTGAAGGTAGTTGAGGCCTAAAGCTACATCTTGAGCAATGCTGAGAATCTGCTCCTTTGTCAATTGGTTCTTCTGAAGCTCTTTATGAAGGCTAGTGCTCATGAGCTCAGTCAATATGAGAGGATTACCAACTTTGGTTGCACCAATGAACTGGACCAAATTAGGATGACGTAGCTGTGATGCTATACTCATTTCCCTAGAGAAAAGAGCTAGATTATATTCTGATATGATGATAGTATGAAGTGACTTGACAGCTACTCTTAAACCTCTAAAGATTCCTACTTTAACACTGGCATAGGATCCTCTTCCTAGCTCCTTATGTGTCAAAATCACTTCATCTTTACAAATGACCCAGTGATCATTCCTTACTACTTGCTGCTGGTAAACACGATTTGCTTCCTGAGACTCGTGTAGTTCTCTTTCTTTCTCTTGCAACTGATAGCGATACCTTAGCATCTCTTGCTCTTTCACAGCTTCTTCTCTGTCCTTCTGCTCCATTCGAATATGAAAGAATTGTGCGTCTTGCTCCCTTTGATTTTTCTGCTGTTGCAATTCAGCTTCCTTTTGTTGCAATTCTACCTTGCAGTCATTGAGTTGCTGAGACTCCCCTAGCCATTCTTTCCGTACTAATTTGAGCTGGTGATGATACATGGTCCTGTATTCTTCAGTGGTCAAATCATGAGAGTTTAATGTAGCACTTACTATCCAGTTTCCCTTGCCACTGGTAACTACAGCATAAAAAATTATAATAGTTATGATAATAATTGTCTGTTGAGGTATTTTGAACTATCCACAAATAGTGTATTATAACCCCATGCCATCATATTGCTCTGTTGTCAAAAAAACCAACAGTCTATCATTTGACAAAAGTTAGTCCAAGACCGTGTACTCAGTCTCAAAATACATAAAAATTTAATTTTAATTAGGATCAGCTCAAACTAGATACACAACAACAACAAAACATGCATCGTATTTCCATAAATAAAAGCCCGGGCGTCTATTTCCTAAAATGGTATTTTGACCTCAAAAAAATATAAAAACGTTAAAATTAAGAATTCTCCCCAAGTCAATTTTGACAAAATTTGGCCCAAGACAGTGTACTGTAGATGGTCTCCAAAAATTTTTTTTAAACTTTAAAAATTCTATTTTAATTGGAATTAGCTCGAACTAGATACACAAAATCAGAACATATATGTGGATCAAAAAAAATTATAAAAATGAAGAATTCTTTCCTAGTACTTTTTTTACAAAATTTGACCCGAGACCGTGTACTATAGTACATGGTCGGCAAGAAGCTCAGCACTATACTGGGAAACCCTGATTGCCTACATGTGGACTACACAGTGCATGTACATACGATCATGTAATTTGAAAGGCTACTGAGGGAGATTGAGAGCATTTTCTCTGCATCTGTATTGAGTTGGTAGTCAGTACATTAGTTTCAATTAAAATTCCAATTACCATACTGTTCAGGTATAAGCCTCAATTACAATGGCCCAGGTCTGACTCGGACAAATTATAATTACTCACAATCATTAATTACTATTCCCGTTATACTACCTAAAGTGCTCACCTAATTCCGTTAGCATAACAGTATTAGGAAACTTTACACACTTCTTGCTATCATCTAGTCCTCCAATAGTTATTACCCAGATGCAGTGAGGACTCATATTAAAAACTGAGAGAGAGTGGCCCCATCTCTTACTAATACAGTGAGGTACATCTAACTGTTGGAGAAAAATAGTTATTATGATATTTGTGACAGTTTATATAAAGTTTATTGGCACAAATGTACAACATGTTAAGTGTAAACAGCATTAACCTTTAGCCATGAGTATTCTGTAATGTCTAAGATCCAGCAATCATCAATTATGTCATCACTGTTATCCCTTCCACCACTTATCAGTAGCATTGGAGATGATCCAGGAATAACAGCAGCAGCGTGAATATACCTCACTTCAGGCCAAAGACTCATTGCTTGAGGCTTCTTTATACGCTGCCAACACTAATAAGAAATTATATGAAGTTATGTGAATGTGTATGTGCATATATGTATAGCGTACCACTGTTCCAATTGATATTTCGAGTTGATAAATATGGTTACTGACAAATACAGCCCCTACAGTGTCATCACTCTCTGATCCACCAAACAGAATAGCTTTTGTGTTGTTTATCTTTTCAATGATGAATCCGTGAATATGTGGGGGGTATTGACCGACAATTAAGGGGTTACTCCATTTTCCTACATGCAGAAAGATTAACAATTCCAAATTAAGTACTATATGTGTATTATACATCCTGCTCTTATATGGGTTGATGACCTGAAACTACGGATGCTTTGATTTGATATCACCAAGCAAAGTTGATCCATATACATGTACATGTATACTAATACATGTAAGAGAAGAATTAAAAAATTTATGGCTTCTCAATACACCAAATTCACAGTAATTTCCTCAGCATTTCATAAAACAGATTACATCCAAACATAATTTTTGAGGGTCATATGTATAAATAACATACATTTTTCAATAAATTAAAGCCAAGAGTACATGTACTCTAGTTAAAGCTTCAGTTTCAATATGCATAGCATACTACAATATTTTCCATAGCATCTCTTACTTGATGATAAATTATAAACTGAGTGTTCGTTAGTACGCCATCTACCGTCAGGCAGTTTTGTATATTCGGTATGCGGTGCTTGTAGAGTTGGTTTGGATCCGATGCCACCTATTATAAGTAAATGATGCATTCCGTTGTGCTCGAATGTGATCATTCCACCATGACATCTCATCATAACCGGCCTAGTTGTATTAGTTGCCTCAATCACTCGCCATTGGAAAGTGACAGTATCGAGCTCCGTAATGCTATTATGAAAGCAGACGTCATGACCACAATACCCTCCAAAGTAATATAACTTCTTATTGATTGCAGAGCAGGAGTAGCCTCTCACTCCTAATGGAGGAGAGCCAGTAGTATCTCTATTGACCCATTGGCCAGTTGAAAGGGACAGGTATTGTATGCTACTGGTGGTCCTTCTCTTTTCTTCACTATCATGTACTTCAGGTAAACGGCCATCCTGTCTCCCGGCCCACACAAAGACTGTGTCGTCTAGGCTCACAGATACAGAGAAATGACCAGCTCTTTCGTTCAGTTGATAGCGAGGTTGATAACGGTGATCTACAATTAGTTAGAAATTCCATTGGACATTACGTGACTGACAACAAAATTATGATGACAACTTACTAAATAGCCTAGCCATGATAGCATTATCTACAATGACAGTAAGCCGAGCCCTTACAAATGTTTTTTGTTTAATTGAATTTGCGGTTGCATGCATGGTCATAATTATAATTATTATACGTGGGAGGGAGTCTGAATGAAATTGAAATGGGATAAAAATTTATACTAAAAAATAATTATATTAAGCACTTTCAAAAAATAATTATGATTTTTATGATAAATTCTCCATAACTTAATTACTGTTATAATGCATAATTCACATCACGTTTCATCTTTCTTCAAGAAGATTGTCATTAGTAACTGAACTGTCAACAACTCCTACACTTCCTCTTATTCTACCATAAGCTGGATTATTATCAGTCATTAAACTATGAAACTGATATGCTTCATTGCTTGCAGTAGCTATCTCATGATGCTGTGAAGAAGGAGTCTCTGCAATGCAATCAAATAACATTACTGAAAATATACATAAGAAAACTTACTATATGCTTTCTTCTTGTAGATAATATAAATGACTGATATAGTAAGACATATTATTAGTGATATTATGACAGCACTCAATAATGACATGGTCACTGGATTAATAAAGAGGTTATAAAATAAATCAATATAACTAACCTGCACTTGCAACAGTAACACTATTGCTGTTCATAGTGAATGATGGTGTAGCAGTAGGGAATGATGAAGTAGTAGGGACAGTATTAGTAGTGGTAGCATACATAATAATAGTATCTATTGATGTACACAATGGCTTAAATGCATAAAACTAATATAATGTAAATTGACTCACTAAGTGGTACTATAAATGGTTCACTACTACCAACATCATTAGTGAAGGCAATACTGATGTTACACTGTTGATACTGAGGTACCAATACCAACCCTTTTATATTATTCATATCCTTTATGAAGTATGTGACATTGCTATAGACATCAGTACCACTACATATTACAGACACAGTAACATGTTCAAGAACTTCATGAGCACATTCCAGTACAATCTATATAATGATGATGATGACAGTAATGAAGTAATTTAGCTTAACTGGGATTTGGAACTGGACAATAATCATATCTTGTGTATAAGAAAGTACATCAATTGATGTGTTTACTGTAGCTGATGTAGGAACTATTAAAGGATAATCATTATCAACAATAAGTATAATGTGTAGGTACCTCTTTGATATGAGAATGTATTGTTATCAGATATTCCCTCTTTAATTGGAGTAGCTTCATTTATAACATAAGTATAGCGATGAGTGAATAAGTCATTATCCACAAACTGATAATTAGTATCATATACTGATACAGCATCTATTAAAGAACCAGTGACATCATCATATATTTTCAGGCGGTAAAAAACATTTGGACTATTGATGACTCCATTTTGACTATTCCAAGTGATATTGACAGTAGAACAATTGTATACTGATGATTGAATACTATGAACTGGTCCTAATATATCTATAACTAAAATGAATATAAAAAACTTTTTTATGACCATTATAAAAATTAATGATAAAATGGCAATAATAATTATTATTGTTATTGTTATTAAACTATTTCACTCAATAACTTCAATTTTTATGAAGTTTTTGTTTTATTTTCATTCTGCAAAAGGGCATACTGATTTTGCTAACCTGTTTTTTTTGTTTTTCAAATTTTGGGTATGCTTAATTTGTATTTGGAACTTAAAAAAAGAAGCCCCCTTTATACAGATTTTATTATTGCCTTGGTAAATTAATTAGCTTTACCATATAGTGCTTTATTTTCAAGGAGCTAAACTTTTGCTATTTTTGCAGTTAGCATAAAACTGAAAAATTAAAGACCCGCTAAAATTTCAATTGCCATTAAAGGTGTGGCACTAACTTTGCAAATCCGCAACAATTATTTCCATGAAAAATTGATTTTTATTAATCAGCAAAATTGTAGCTCCAAAAAATTAAAGCGCTATACGGTATTCTTTTTTGATACTCTTCAATTAAATACAATCTTCTAGAATTTACAAAATTTATTATCCTAAAAAAGAGATACTCTACTCAGATTCCTTCAAACCAGTGAATCACTTAATGGGGAACACCTGGTTGATTTAACCAAGCCTAACACATTGTAATGAAATGTACATTATACATTCTTCCACCTTATTATGTTAGTATTGCATGTGGGGGAGTTTCATAACTGAATAAAATACACACAAATACATGCACATGTATAGTGCATTACTTTGTACAGAGAGTGCCCAAGATACAGATTCTCTCTCATTATCAAAGAATCCTTCCCATAAGCATTGATATACACCAGTTCTTGCTGGAGATAGATCATTTAGTATCAAAGTCTCATTGTTATTAGTTAATTGTAGTCCATTGAAATACCATCGTAGCTTTACATCTGTTCCATTAGCTCTACATGTAAAGTTGATGTTTTCTAATTCATAATATCGAAATGAAGAGGCATTCTTTACTGATGGAAACTCTACTACACTCAGAGGTTCTGAAAATAGAAAAAGTGAAGGAGACAGAATGAGATGATCAAGGAAGATTAAAGAAGGGGATGAAATAAAAAGTAGGGAAAAGTGATTACGTGTATCACGATAAGAAAACAGAACATTCACCAATACCAAGAGTACATACCTACAACAGTATATCCCACAGTTACACTGGTATCAACATTAATACTATCTCGATCCAGAATCACATTAAGACCAGGTGTTGAGGCTAAAGTATTCGTAAATCTTATTCGAAGTAAGTTCCCATCTTGCATTGTAGGAGTAATAGCACCACTACCACCAACTTCAGTAGCACCATTAGTTGCAGCAATGTAAAAATATGAAATAGTAGAATCTTGACTAGATACAAATTGATTAGTAACTGGACGACGATATGCTATAAAAGCATTCATACCACCAGGTATTGTATTAACTAGAAAAAAATACCATAATAAGGGAATAATATAAAGCAATGTTTGTCATAAATGAACACATTACCTTTATACAATGTGTAGTTATTGCTTGAATTTTGTGGATTAACAACATTAATAACTCCACATTTATAAGTAGCAGTTATGTCATCATTAACCAAATTATATATAACTAAGTGCTGTCCATCATCTAATAATATGTACTTGGGATTTGTATCATCGACTGTATCAGGTTCTATAATTGTATCATTCTTATACCATACAATGGTAGGCACTGGCCTCTGTGTTACATTACAGAGTAATGCAACAGCTTGTCCTAGTCTTACTATCACTGTAGTATTGTCAGTATCACCAAATCCTTGGAAATCTAAATAAGGAATGAGTGAGAAAAGAAAAGTGAGGAAGTGCAAAAGATATCTATAATAATTGCACACCACAAGCACTCAAAAACATCAGTACTATCAAACAATAAGGGCA